TTTTGGTGAAATCATGTATGGCGGCCACATCACAGATGATTGGGACCGTCGGCTGTGCAGGGACCTACCTGGCCGAATACATCCGAACGGGAGATGCTGGAGGGAGACGTCCTGCTGGCCCCCGGCTTTCAGATCCCCCCACCTGGACTACAAGGTAAGGTGACAAGTTAAACAGGCGCTTAATGTAATGAAGGTTCGTGCCTCCCAGTGAGAGCCTGGCAGCACAAATGGAGCATCCATAACTGAGCAAGAACCCAGGCAACCAAACTAAGAGGATGAAGAAATGTGTCTCACTTAGAAGAAGCACAAGGCTAATACAAACAACTTTTTTTTTTTTTTTTTTTTTTTGAGATGGAGTTCTCGCTCTGTCGCCCGGGCTGGAGTGCAGTGGCCGGATCTCAGCTCACTGCAAGCTCCACCTCCTGGGTTCACACCATTCTCCTGCCTCAGCCTCCCCGAGTAGCTGGGACTACAGGCGCCGGCCACCTCGCCCGGCTAGTTTTTGTATTTTTTAGTAGAGACGGGGTTTCACCGTGTTAGCCAGGATGGTCTCGATCTCCTGACCTCGTGATCCGCCCGTCTCAGCCTCCCAAAGTGCTGGGATTCAGGCGTGAGCCACCGCGCCCGGCCACTTTTTTTTTTTAATTTAAAAAAACAGAAATGCAGCCTCAGGGAAGGGGGATGGAATTTTCCTTTATGTTGCTGGGAGCACAGGGGCCAGCCCACAAAGGGGCTGGGAACAAGTGGGATCCGTACAGAGAGCAAGACGTGGGTGGAACGTTCTGGCAAGGAAACGCTTAACGAACAGGACATGGGTTTCAGCCTGCACAGCTTCGCGTCTGCTTACAAACTGCCCTCTTTTTTAGGGTTACCACGAATACATCGATGAGAACCTGCCCCCCGAGAGTCCTACCTATACGGCCTGCACCCCAACGCAGAGATTGGCTTTCTGACGGTCCACCTCAGAGAAGCTGTTCCGCACTGTCCTGGAAATGCAGCCCAAGAGACGGACTCAGGGGCAGGCACAGGAGTGTCCCCGCGAGGAGAAGGCAGGATCTTTAAAACCGCTACCAAGCAAGAGGAAGGGGGAGGATCTAGAACCGGGGGCCGGGGTGCCAGGAACTGGTGGCAGTACAGGGGAACTTGCTGGTGAGGTACACCTGCCCCAGCCTCGGGCTTGGGTATCAGAAACGCTGGGGTGGGACCACAGGCTGGTCGGCCAGGTCCTCAGGCATGGCAGCTGCAGGCTTCATTCGGGTGAGGCATGGGCCCAGACAAAAGGGATCCTCAGGGGTGTGGATGCGGCTCCGAGAGCACCCCAGCCCTCTGCCCTGCAGTCTTCCAGCTTCCCCAGCTGAGTGCCAGGGAAGATACCGGCCATTCCCCGCCCTGGCCCGGCCAGCACAACAGCAGTAGCAGCTTGTGCAGGGCAGCCGGATGAGCAGGAAGGTGCTCCAGAGCAGCTCAGGGGCCACGACGGCAGGTCCTGCTGCTCACAGTATTAGATAGAGCTCAGGGATGTCAGTGCTCTGAACAAATTCTCACTTGTCTGGGGAGCTCTGTGCGCCTCCTGGGTACCTCCCCCGCTTTTTTTTTTTTTTTTTTTTTTTTTTTTTTTGAGACGGAGTTTTGCTCTCGTTGCCAGGCTGGAGTACAATGGCGCGATCTCGGTTCACTGCAACCTCCGCCTCCCGGGTTCAAGCGATTCTCCTGGCTCAGCCTCCCAAGTAGCTAGGATTACAGGCACACCGCCCACCATGCCTGGCTAATTTTGTATTTGTGATAGAGACAGGATTTCACCATGTTGGCCAGGCTGGTCTTGAACTCCTGACTCAGGTGACCAACCCCGCCTTGGCCTCCCAAAGTGCTGGGATTACAGGTATGAGCCACTGCACCTGGCCTGTACTTCTTAATAGAATGTGGGAAAAGCTCTATTATGTATTAGCCAAGCACTAGGCTTCCCAGTAGACTGAATTCTCTATGTGAAACCCTTCTTAGTCTAATGAATGACATTAGAAACTAACTGACAGATGGTGTGTAGGTGACCACTGCACTGTGTGGGCCACTCCTTAACAGGATGTGCAGGTGTGACCGGGCATGGTCCCTACAGAAAGCCCAAGTTAAAGGACAAAGTTGCAATCCCTCAAACCACTGGCTAAATTTGACCAGAGGGCCGGTGCATGGGAAATAAATGTTCTGAGGCACTGGGCCAGGTGACCTGAGGCACCCCACGGCCGCAGCTGCAGGGCCTTGGTAGTGAATCAGAACATTCAGAGCTGCTGGCCAAGGCTCCCTCCCCTGGTCAAGGGTGTGGCTGCACCCCACGACCCTGCGTTTCTGGCCACCCCACTTGCCTCCCCCGCCTCCCTCCCAGGAGTCGGGGCTGGGAAACATTCGGGGCAGGCCTCCTGACCCTGCAGCAGTGGGGCGTGCCCTCGCAGTGACGGGCTATCTGGGGACGGCTTCCAGGTGAAGGCCGTGCTGGACGACATCCTGGAGAAGATTCCGGAGACTTTCAACATGGCTGAGATCATGGCAAAGGCAGCGGAAAAGGACCCCCTACGTGGTAGTCCGCCTTTCAAGAATGTGAAAGAATGAACATCTTGACCAAACGAAATGCGCCGTTCACTGAAGGAGCTGAACCTAGGGCTGAAGGTAAAGATGGGTAGCCAGGCCCCAAGGAACGTGGCTGGATGGCGAAACCAGCAGAAACCCCAGGGCTCTGGGCACCCAGGCCTAGCACGGGCCCTGGGATCAGCATGGTACTGCTTCCCTCTCCAGAGTTCTGGCCGTTCCAGAACAAGCCCCAAGGAGCTCATCTAGACAGTTCCTGAGCAGGAAGCGCTTTGCGCGGCCCTGATGCAGGGTACTCGAGAGGCGCAGCACAAAACCACACTGTGTTGACCAACTCGTGACGTGCACTGGGGCTGGAACTCTCCCGGGCCCCAACCCAGGGCTCCGGTCTGTGTGTCTCCTAGGGAGAACTTGACCATCACGACCGGACATGGAAGATCTGTCCACGGCTCTCTTCTATGACCCCGTGCCTGATACGTGGGTGGCCCGGGGCCTACCCCTCCATGATGGGCCTGGCGGCCTGGTACGCAGACCTGCTGCTCCGCATCAGGGTGAGTGCCGTTTTCCTCTGAGAGGCTTCCTAAGACTCAGGGACTGAGTGCCCCAGGGGCTCGGCACACCCCACAACCCTAGAGCCTGCAGGAGCATGGCCAGGAGGCTTCCTGGGGGCCTGTCCTCCATCAGACCAGGGGCCAGAAGGCCTAGCCCACACCCACCCATCCCCTCCCACGCCCTGACAGTGCAGCCACTTCCTCCCAAAGGAGGAAAACAAGCCAGGCCACAGAGAGCAGCTTCCATCAGCTCTTCCTCGAGCGACCCTCAAAGGGTAAGCTGCCCGCTGTAAGGAGCGAGGCAGTGAAGGCAAGAGCCTCTCTGGGCTCCTGAATTATCCACAAACGGGTAGCCATTCCCTTCCTGACCCTTCTCTACCTGTTCCCTTGTTTAAAATGGAGCAGATAACAGCTGGACGTGGTGCCTCATGCCTGTAATCCCAGTACTTTGGGAGATCAAGGCAGGGGGATCACTTGAGGCCAGGAGTTCGAGACCAGCCTGGCCAACATGGCGAAACCCCGTCTCTACTAAAAATACAAAAATAAGCCAAGCATGATGGCCTGCACCTGTAATCTCAGCTACTTAGGAGGCTGAGGCAGAAGAATCACTCGAACCCAGGAGGTGGAGGTTGTGGTGAGCCAAGATTGTGCCACTGCACTCCAGCCTGGGTGACAGAGCGAACTCCGTCTCAAAAAAAAAAAAAAAAAACAGGCAGACACCAAAGTTGCGTCACGGCAGGTGGCTGGGCTCCGTGGCCCCTACTCTATCCAGCACTTCTAGCTTGCTGAGTAGCCCATGGAAGGTTCTGGCATGAACCCTGCTCAGAACGGCCAAGGCCCTGTCGTTCCCATGTCATCCTGTGCCCTCTCCTCTCAGTGGCTCGTGTGTCCTTGCAGGAACTCGAGGCCTGGACAACAGACTTTGCCCTGCCCACCACCGTGTGGCTGGCTGGCTTCTTCAACCCCCAGTCGTTCCTCACGGCCATCATGCAGTCCATGGCCAGAAAGAACGAGTGGCCCCTGGACAAGATGTGTCTGTCTGTGGAGGTGACCAAGAAAAGCCGAGAGGACATGACCGCTCCCCCCCGAGAGGGCTCCTATGTGTACGGACTCTTCATGGAAGGTAAGGAGGGTTCTGTCTGCAGAAGCTTCCAGAGCCAGTGCTACTTGCCAAGACAAGATAAAACTAGCTCTTGGCAAAGACAGGCTGTTCAAGAGCTGTGGGGACAGGCAGGAGAGAGGTGCTCTCAGGGGGCATCAGCCTGCAGGTCAGAGCCACACTGACCCTAGAGAGGGTTGAGAGGATTCAGGGAATGTGCAGCGGTCTGGAGGAGACCAAAAACGCCCCAGTCACTTGGTCTGTGTTTTAGTGAAAACAGCAGAGCTTGTGTGAGAGCGGCTCCGACCTGATGAGAAGCGCTGAAAAGCTCAGGCTTTCCCCGGCATGGAGCAGTGAGCCCAGGACCGAAGTGCGTTTTGTGGCTGCGCTGAGACTCCAGGGCAGGCCGGCTGGCCCAGTGCCACCCGATCCCCAGCTGCTGCGGCTCCTGGAGCACAGGGTTCAAGGGAAAAGAGGCTGGCGCACCTGTTAGAAATCTACCCCCACATCACCCCATCCTGCTACACAGAAGAGGTCAGACAGGACGAGGCCGGCCCTCTCCTCAGCCCGCCTCTGAGTTGAGCAGCAATGCCACCACCACAGCCTGTCCCCTTCAACAGCTGACATCACCCTGTTACCTGTGGGGTGGCAGGGCTGGGCTGGCACTGGCTCAGGCGCCCCATTTCCTACACAACCAAGACGAGCTCTCCATGTTTATTCTGAGATTTCAGACAGGAAACAGAAACATCATTAAACAGGGCGAGTAGAAATAATAGTCTGGTTGAAGGCAAATAATATTTATATACATAGCTGTATGTACACATAGAGCAGACATCACACATAAAGAATCAGGGAACTTTAATTGTTAGCTGGAGTTATGATTTCCTGCCACTGACATTAAGGCTGACAGATGAGGCTCTGAAAACGCCACAGATTTAAACGGATGGAACCCGAGGGCTTTAGCTGAGCGGTTCCTTGTGCCCAGCGAGACGGGGTAGTTACAACATGCACGCCATCACCTACGAAGGCCTCTGCTTCCTGCTGTGGCACCTGGCCTGAAGCCTTTTGGGGTGGAGCCCATCTCTGCAAAGGGAGGACCCCTCCCTTACTTACTGGCAGCACACCCGGCCCTCAGCCATACTGTCCCCGCAGGGGCTCGCTGGGACACCCAGACCGGAGTCATCGCAGAAGCGCGGCTGAAGGAGCTGACCCCAGCCATGCCTGTCATCTTCATCAAGGCCATTCCTGTGGACCGCATGGAGACCAAGAACATCTATGAGTGTCCCGTGTACAAAACACGCATCCGCGGCCCCACCTACGTCTGGACCTTTAACCTGAAGACCAAGGAGAAGGCAGCGAAGTGGGTCCTGGCAGCCGTGGCGCTGCTGCTGCAGGTTTAGCTCACCCCCGCCTCACGGCCCACGCTCCCCGGGGCTGGACCACGACTCAGCCCTTCACCTGTGACTTATTATTTACAGGAACTGGTGGTTGCTTTTGTTCTCTTAAATAATCAAGGTGAACTAACCAGAGGGTGGAGGTTGGCATGGAAGAGGTGGGGCAGATTAAAACCAGTGGAGCCATTCAGTTGTGCCCATCTGACTCCATTCTGTACCTGATGGCCACCGTAGGGCCTGGCTCAGGCTTTGGGGAAAGGCCCCAATTCCCAGCAGCCAAAGGCAAGCATTCCAGGAAGCAAACCCTAAATCCTGACTTCCTGGGGGCGGGGGGGGGGTCAGTGGGGTTTGTTTTTAACACGAGCAGCATGTGGGGTGAAGGCTTGGCACTCACACCCTCCGGCCTGATGCTACATGCAAACCACCTGCCAATGAGGGGACAGGGCGTTACCCCGTAACAGAAGCTGCCGCCTCCACACAACGTCTCATCTGCCATTACTCCCCGCTCCCAAAAACAACAGGACCTTTTACAAGTAAGGAAACACACCCAAGCCCCCGCCCCCAGAGTCTAGAAGAACAAGCCGTTCCCACAAGCCAGCCCCGGACGTGTGGGGCTCTGCGGCTGTGCTGATGCAGGACACGGCAGTGAGGTGGCCAGGCTGGCTACAGCAGCAGGGTGCAGGCACAAGGGGAGAGGATTAACTAGCAACCTGGGGGATGAGGGGAGGCAGCTGTAAACGCCAGAAAAGATAGATCCCAGGGGGACCAAGACAGGGTCCTCAACATTTTTTTTTTTTTTTTGAGACAAAGTTTCACTCTTGTCACCCAGGCTGGAATGCAATGATGCAATCTTGGCTCACTGCAACCTCCACCTCCTGGGCTCAAGCGATTCTCCTGCCTCAACCTCCCAAGTAGCTGGGACTACAGGCACCTACCACCACACCCAGCTAATTTTTGTATTTTTAGTAGAGACAGGGTTTCACCATGGTGGCCAGGCTGGTCTCAAACTCCTGACCTCAGGTGATTCACTGACCTTGGCCTCCCAAAGTGCTGGGATTACAAGTGTGAACCACTGCGCCCGGCCCTCGAAGTTTCTTAGGCTTCAAAGCAAAGCAGGCTGGTGCAGCAGTTCACACCTCTAATCCCAGGATGGCGGGATTACTTGAGCCTGGGCAACATGGCAAAACCATCTCTGCCAAAAATACAAAAAATGAGCCGGGAATGTTGTATGTGCCTGTAGTCCCAGCTAGTCAGGAGGCTGAGGCAGGAGGGTCGCTTGAGCCCATGAGGTCAAGTATGCAGCAAGCCATGATCATGCTACTGCACTCCAGCCTGGGTGACAGAATAGACCCTGTCTCAAAAGGGGGAAAATGCAAACACACCCACTGGGAATGTCTAAGTTCAGCTTGATCATCAAGTTTTGCAAAAACATTTTTCCAAGTTTACTCACCTAAATCATGGGTTAAGAAGCATCTAGAAAATCCAAATTCTGAGGGTAATGATTCACAACAATCTCAGGGCCCCGTAGGGCTATCGGAGGGAGAAGAAAAACATCCCTCAAATCCTCCCTTCCTGGCACCCAAGGAAGGACTCCAGCCCCTTTGGGGCTGCAGAGGAGGCAGTTTCAGCCTCCCCCAGCCTGGCTGGGCCAATACCTCTGCTGGCCAGGAGGGGTCACTGCAGCCCTTCAGGTGACCAGGGGAGATAAAGCTGCCAGGGGCCACCAAGCAACTCACTTCAGTCCCTGGTAATAACCACAAAATGTGAAGTTTTTCCATTTTGCCTTTAAATCATGAAATAAGAGTAATCTATTCCACACATATATATCGTGGGTAGTTGACAAAATTATCTCTCAACTTTCCAAGAGATGATTCGCACTTAAGCTGCACTCCAGCGACAGAACACAGGGACTGGAGCACAACAGCCCCATGCACCTAGAACGCCGGGAGGACTGCGGCGGCGACCACCCGCTGTTCTCTGTTGCTCTGGTTGCTTTGCAGAGTTAGGGAGCCTTGGTCTGGGGAGCTCCTCGGGGAGAACCTGCCTAGGACAGCCTTGAAGGCCATTAGCCGAGACAGAGGGAGCAGCGGTGCGCTGCGGGAACAGCACTGCAGATGGCTTCAGCCGGGCTGTGGCACAATGATGTTTACTCTGGTCCCACAGAATCTGGAGGAATGCGAACTCTGTTTACCGAAAGCCACTCTCCAAACAGAAACCCACTGCCCCTGCACATTCCTTTGGCTCCTCTAGTCTAATTGTCCCACAAGACAGAGTAATGACTAGTTTGAAGGCAAACTGTTAACTGATGTGCTGCTGCCCAGGGCAGTGTGGCCAGGCCGCCACTCCATCTATCCCCAGCCACTCAAACTGCAGTTCTGCCTGGTGCGGGGACTGCAGCTGCCCTTGTCTAAGACCAGGTGAGCCCATGAACCAGACCCCATGAAGGGTGACAGTGACTGCTGCCAGCCCTCGGGAGGGAAAGGCAAGAAGCTACTTCTAGAGAGGCAAAGTACAGGGACTAAATCTAATCTCACTCCAGGAAAGGAAAGGCTGCCATGCCCTGCAGCCCAGGAAGCTTCTCTCTGTGCAAGGGTCAAGCACCTCAAGATAAAGAGATCAGGCAGTGAGGTTACGAAAGCTGCTCCTGGAGACACTGGGGGATGTGGAGAGCTGGCTTTATAAACACACATGATGTGGATTCAAAATCTCCTGCTACTAGGTGACACAAAAACGTTTTAAGTAGATCCAACACAAAGTTCATTCTTCAAAAAATAAATTGCTAGGGCAAAAACAATCACAAGGTATAGTCCTTAACTTCAAGTCAATCGAAAAAATTAATTTTAAGGCAACTGGAATTCTGAACACCATTTAGGTATTTGATGACACTAAGACATTCTTGGTAATTTTTGTTTTAGGAGTGACACTGGTGCTTTTTTGGTTAAGTATATATTTTGGGGGAAGATAACAGGATATGCACGTTATTTAGAAATACAGACACGTGTGCATATCAGAAGAAAGAAGCCAAAGTGGCTGCCTGAGGGGAGGGCAGGAAATGGCCGCGGTATTGTTTTACTCTCTACATTTGCACATATTATTCCAATAAAATTAAAAGTAATTAAAATAACTAGGAGAAGTTGCAAGATAAACTACACATTTTTTAAAAATGAGACTTAGCCGAGAACTAAGGTGGCAGGCGCTAAGGGAGCCCATGCTGCACACATGAGACGCCAGCACTGGCGCATGCGCCGGCCACAGGGCCCTGGCTCCTCTTGGACTCCTCACCATCCCTCCCCACAAGCCACCATCCGAAGGCCCAACCATCCAAAGCAACAGAGCTACCCCCAACATCCAGACCCAAAGAGCAGGGGCCGCAGCGGCCTCGGGAGCCTGACCCCACGTGAAGTGCTGTCCAGGCCCGGAGGAATCCAGGACACAGAGGGCCACCCAGCAAAGACCCCACCTTTAACGGCAGCCACCCCCTGCCTGGACCTCTAGGCGTCAAGACAGTCCAGGGGTACCTCAGGTGACTGGGACCCTACTGGTGCCTCTGGTGAAGCGGCAGGCCCCTCCTGGGTGGGCAGAGAGGGTCCTGATACTCAACTTCCAGAGTCTAGAAGGGCGCATCTCTGTAACCGCAGCACAGGGATGTCAGCGAGGCGTCCAGGCAGCAGCCCGAGATCTGGCTCCACCGACGCCCCACCCTGCAGGCTGCAGCTAGCCAGGACAGCAAGCCAGAGCCACTCTCACGAGCAACCGTGCTCTCCTCCTCCCACGTCTACATCTCCTGCACCAGCATGATCAGCTTGGAGGGGCTCCATCTGCCTTTCTGCCCCCTCATCCCTGAGCCCTTGCCCCAGGGCCTCTTTAGGACCCCCTGGGAAGGGAGAGCAGAAGGGGTTGCCCACTGCCGACCCCAACACAGGCATCTTGAGACTTAGTGGAGTGGGTACCTGATGGAAAGTCAACAGACTGCCTAATTTAGCATTCCGCTTCTAACTTGGAGGACAGTTGCCACACCCCTGAAGATGCTGCTCTGTGTTTAACTGAGAAAGGGATCAGAGAGTCCTCCGGGAGCTCTGGTTGAGTCAGAACGACCACCTGCCCCACCTGTGAACTCCCGGGAAAACCGTGCTGAGACGATGCTAGAGACAGCACCTGTCTGTCCTCAGAAGAAGTTCTTGATCAGTGGAGTCACCATCTTCACCCACAGCTTCACCTGGCGACTCGGCTGCTCGAAGGTGGCAGAGGACACCACCCCTGACCTCAGGTAGAGCTGCTCTTGCTCCTGAGGAAGAGGGACAGACAGGAATAGTGAGGAGTCCCCTCCAGCACCGCACCACATGGCCGGCTGGCCCTAGCCCAGCCCCTCAGGCCAGCCTGGAAAACCCTGACTTCCCATGTCTACCTGGCCCCGAGATTCCCAGGGTGCTCTGGTGGCAGGCAAGGCCAGGCCCTACAAGTTGCACTGTGAAACATTCCTCAGAAAAGCTAAGAAGCCGTGTTCCTGAAGACTTCTAAGGGCCGGGCACAGTGGCTCAAGCCTAGAATCCCAACACTTTTGGAGGCCGAGGCAGGAGGATCACTTGAGCTGAGGAGTTTGAGGCCACCCTGGGCAACATAGGGAACACATCGTCTGTATGCAAACATCTAAAAAATTGGCTGGGTATGGTGGTGTGTGCCTGTAGTCCCAGCAGCTTGGGAGGCGGAGGCAGGCAATGGCTTCCGCCTAGGAGGTCAAAGCTGCAGTGAGCCGTGATGGTGCCGCTGCATTCCAGCCTGGGTGGCAAAGTGAGACCTTGTCTCAAAAACACAAACCAAAAGGCTTTTAAGACCAAGACATGTAAAGGACTCTTAAATTTCTTCAATTTACAGTTGAAGAAATATAACTGGTGGGAAAAATAGTTTAAATGTTCACCCTCACTAAATGAGGTAATGCAAATTAAAATGAGGTATTTTTTAAACGAGATAGTTTTTCTTCTATCAAACTGGCACAAAGCTGTTTTGTGATGTCATTATCCTCCACGCTGATGAATGCTTAGTGCTGAGGGAAAGGGGGACAAGTCGTCTTCTAGAGTGAGCTCTGGCAACAAGAATCAAGCATCTTAAAAAGCTCCCTTTACAAGAGTTTACCACAAGAAAATCACTATGCACTAAGATTTTTATATACAGATATTTATCATAATATTTATAACAGGGAAAAACTGGAAACCACCTAAATGTCCAACAGCCAACTTACTAACAACTCATATGACAAACCAGCATTCACCACGAACTTACTAACAACTCGTACGACACACCAGTTTTTGCCATGAGAAGAACGTTTACCTAACCATATGGGAAAGTGCCCAGAATTGGCAGGCAGAGGAAGCTGGACACGAAATACATGTCCACAACAGAATCGTCATCTGATGCTTAACGCTCTGCCTCTCTGTGTGCTGTACGCAGAAGGCAGGCAGCCAGTCACCACAATGGCTTGCTTCAGTGGTTTTCCCTGCATGAAATGGTTTATTTCCGCTTTTCTTAATTTTTATAGTGAATTGTTAATTTCATATTTTAAAACAGGTTTAAAAACATTTATGTATGTGGCCGGGCGTGATGGCTCATGCCTGTAATCCCAGCACTTTGGGAGGCCAAGGCGGGTGGATCACTTGAGGTCAGGAGTTCGAAACCAGCCTGGCCAACATGATGAAACCCCATCTCTACTAAAAATACAAACATTAGCCAGGCGTGGTGGTGTGCACCTGTAATCCCAGCTACTCGGGAGGCTGAGGCAGGAGATTCACTTGAACCGGGGAGGCGGAGGTTGTAGTGAGCTGAGATCGCACCACTGCACTCCAGCCTGGGCGACAGAGCAAGACTCCATTAAAAAAAAAAAAATTATATATGCTTTGCCTGAAATGGTGTTCGGGATCTTTGAGAAGCTTCTCTCGTAAGAGTCTACCCTCCAAATGCTCCCTCCTCAGTGGGGCACCTGGCAGCGCTCGCACGGTCACACCGCGACTCTAGCCCTCTCTCCTCCACTGAGTCTCCAGCGCTCTCCTCAGTAACGTCCGGGCCACACCTACACCCACCCTGTCGTGAGGACCACGGGTGATGACCACAGAAGCACAGTGCCAACCACAGGACAGCAGGAGCGGTGGCCTGTGCCACTCAAAGCAGCACCCTCCCTGCTCAGGAGACCGGGAGTGAGCCCCGGCAACTCCTCTACCCCAGGGGTGACAGGAAGGGGACACCCCACACTCCAGAACCCTACAGAATGTAGCCTTGGCTTTTCCCATCAAGAGCTGGGCAAAGCCAGGCCCCGGCTTCATTTCCCCCTGCCCCCGTCCCCCTGCCCCCGTCCCAGGCTCAGTGGGTCCCATCCACCGGTCCATGCCACACTCCCAACTGAGCAGCCCCGCAGCCCCACGTGTCACAGACATGGGGCTTCCTAATTGCTGCTGAGGTCCCAATCCCTGGCTGGACGTGCCTGATGGAAGAGCCAGCTCTGGTCTCGGGGGGCTGGTGTGCAGGAGTCTCCACAGACCTGGCCCCAGCTTTATGTCTTCAAATGCACACCCAGCCAAGATTGCAACGAAATTCCCAGAAACACTTAGGTTTCCTCACAGACTCCACAACAGGGATGGAGAAGGAAGTCAGCTGACGAGGTTACCACGCTGTTCGAGGGAGTCTTTCTTGGGTCACAAGTGGTAAACTGTGTTCCCTGAACAAAACCAGGAAGCTTTCAGTGTTTATTGTATGTACTAAGTGGAGGGAGGGACTTCAGATTCTGATAAAAATATCTCCCCGTTCCCAGTGCCCAATGTGACTTGAATAGGAGGGCCCTTCCCTGAATTCCCAAGGAGAGCTCCAGAGACAGCTTCGGAGAGCAGGGAGCCTGTGGTGGCTGGGGCTTTAGGGACTTTCTGGGTTGTGGGGAGGCTGGAGGCTGGGCAGTCCCAGCAGGATTTGGTATCTAGGGACCGGGCACTGCAGGGCCCAGGAGAGCAGCTGCCGTCCCAGTATATAAGCATAGGTGGAATTATCTGGAAACATATTTCTGCGTTTCACAGGCAGAGAAATCAGTCTATCCCTAAAGAACGGAATAACTACAGTAGCAGAGCTACCACCCTCCCACAGGCAAAAGCCCCTGGGACTCAGGTTTGGGAAGAAAAAGAAAATATCCTAAATATGTCATTTGAGAAAGCAGCTCCTAACCACAAGCGGCTCCAGCTTTTCTCAAGATCCAGGATGTGGGTTCAATGCTCTTACCAGGACAGTGGGGGAGGACAGTCAGTGCCAGGACCCCAGCGCAGGCCTGGAGGACTTGCTCCCCCATCAACTCAGACCCATGCAGAACGCATCCTGGGCCCTGGCCAGTCACCAAGGACTCTCCACCGCCCTGGCGCAGAGCTGCAGTGGAAGTCTCTGCGAACAGCCCCTGGAACCGAAGCAGAAGTCCAGGAAAGCCCGCTGTGGAAAGCTGCCGGCTCAGGTCTTTCCCACTAGCCTGGCTCCAAGGCCAGCTTGTCACCCTATTACTGGAATCTCTCAGCTTGTGGGGGCTTCCTCAGTCATTTGCTGTAAACCTCACTGTAGGAAGAAACCCGAGCAAACCCATTACCCCACTGGCCCACCCAGAGCATGACTGACCGCTGTCACTTCCTCTTGCGCCTGTCGTGGTCATGAAGCCTTTCCTGGCACCAAGGCCCCAATCGGTCACTGACAAGATTCCCAGGCTGCAGGAGGACAGATCCCAGGGAACACAGCAGTGACTATTTCCTCGTCCATCAACAAAGGCTCTGACAATTTTGCAACAGTTATTCCCAAACTCTGGAGCATAAAAGCTTCACAGAGTTACCGTCCGACGCTGCTGGGCTCCGGCCTGTGGTCGTGTTATCTGCATCCCCAGGAATGGAAAAGGGAAGTTGGTGCCTTCCATGGAAAAGGGTTATTGCAAAGATCACAAATTCATGAGCCCAAGGCACCATCAAGGTCTCAGATAAAAGGGTAATAATGTGCTCCCATTTCAAAAGTCTATCCACATGTCACAGGCCATCAAATAGAGGGTCATCCAGAAGCATTCACCAGCTCCTGGTAACCTTCTTTTATCTCCTTAAAGAGAAAATACGCTAATATTATACAACGGAGGGCCGAAACCACTGCTGAACCCTTTATTTTTTGAGATGGAGTTTCACTCGTTGCCCAGGCTGGAGTGCAATGGCACGACCTCAGCTCACTGCAACCTCTGCTTCCTAGGTTCAAGCGATTCTCCCGTCTCAGCCTCCCGAGTAGCTGGGATTACAGGCACCTGCCACCATGCCCAGCTACTTTCTTGCATTTTTAGTAAAGGTGACGGTTCACCATGTTGGCCAGGCTGGTCTTGAACTCCTGACCTCAGACGATCCACCCGCCTCGACCTCCCCAAGTGCTGGGATTCCAGGCGTGCGCCCCCGCGCCCAGCTCCAATGCTGAACCTTTGAAGAGCTGACCCTTTTTCTTAAAAGGGAAAGGTCCCAGGGAGAAAATGGTGGCCTCCTCTAGTGCAGAGAAAGAAAAAGTCTCCAGGATGTGGGGTGCGAAGCATCTGGGAAGTCACAGGCACGATCTTCCGAGGCTCAGCACCCATCACTGCACTCTTGGAGACCCGGAGTCTTTCCTGCTCTGCTCTGAGTCTCACTCGTTGCCTCAGGAAACAGCTCTCAGGGCAGCCCCACAGCACGGGTGAGCCTGGACCCCAGCCACACCCTCAGCACCCTGGGAAATCCCATTTGCCATGACCAACCTGGTGAAGCTGCTGCTGCAGGGCCTCGTTCTCTGTCACGATCGCAATCTGGGCCTCCAGGTCCCGGTGAACTGACCTGTACCCAAAATTAGGAGAGCCAATCAGCGTGAGACAGGGCAGGCTGCTCCCTGCCAGGTACAGCCAGAGGCCTGCGGGGAAAAGGAAACGTGCAGACAGGAAATGAGCACAGCATCTGCCAAAGTCCTCTCCACACGCTGCTGCAATCTAAGAGAAAGGCAGCCCGCTCTGGGTGCCTGGACATGAGGGGCGGCTGCAGAGCGGCGGACAGGCCACACCAGGACTCGCTCTTCCCCCCCACCCCGGCGCGGCAGGAAGCAGGAACCCAGGACCGGGGCGCAGTCTCAGCTCAACTGCTAGTCTTTGCTTCCACCACTCACACCGTGGCCTTGTGTCCCAAGCAGGACGAGAAGCAGGCTTTCCCAGGGGAACATGGTGACGCCGCCTGCAGGACTGCTCTCATATACCCCTGCCCAGATGCCCACTGAGCCTCTCCCCAGAGAGCTCAGGGCCTCGAACCCCACTCTGAACCGCCTCTGCACATCCACACCTGCTGACACTACCTGCTAAGCTCAGAACCCGCACTGGCCATCCCTTCCTGTGAGCACTGAGAATCCTCACACGTACTTCTCAGAAGCAGCCACCTCAGTGCGCAACAGGGCAGACGGTGAAGGACAACCACGCGACCCAAGCCAGCAGATGTGGGGTTGTCACGCGGGGTGGCTGGTAAGAACAGGTCTGCCTTGAAGGCTGGCTGCCTCACCATAGGTCCTGGGTAGGCTGTCTGTGCCCTTCTGACTGAGGGACATGCGAGTCTCCCAGACCCAGCCTCCCTATTTCAAGTTGCTGATGCACCAAAACCCTGTGAGGACAAAGGGGGTCCAGGCCCGAGACCTCTGCCATCACTGCCCACAGGGCCCAGGGACTTCCTGGCTGGACAAGGCAATGAAGGAGAAAGCTAAAGGGCCCTGTAAATTTCTGTCACACCCAGAGAACAATATCCCCTTTTTGCTGGGAAATGAGCCAGTCAGTATTACAGCTGGAGAAAAAGCAGGGCACAGGGTACACCGTGTGGCAGGGGGAGCCACGCTACAGGGACATTTCTGTAACAAGGCCACAGGCGTACTCAGAATACTAACATGTTACCTGAGATGATGACAGGCACAGTTCTGTGGCCCATTCCACACCTTCCCAAGGTCCAGGGCGGATTCCCACAGCCCAGCCCCCATCAGAACTAATTCTAAAAAGGCTGTTACCAAGACAGCCTTTTTGTCCTTAGCATCCCAAGGACAAGTGCTGCCTGAGACGCCCTTCCTCCCACAGGGCACCCAGGCTCGGCCTGAGCTCAAGACTTCCCTCCGTGCTGCCCTCCACCAGCACTAAGAATGCTTCTCCCAGAAACTCCTGCCTGATGTCAGTGTAAGCAAGTGTGAGTGGGGTTGAGAAGGTAGTGAGGGTGAGCAGGTAATGAACAGGGGTGAGCGGGTGTGAGCAGGGGTGAGCGCATGTCAGCAGGGGTGAGGGGGTAAAGACCAGGGGTGAGCAGGGGTGAGCGGGTGTGAGCAGGGGTGAGCGGGTGTGATTGGGGTGAGCGGGTAAAGAGCAGGGGTGAGCGGGTGTGAGCAGGAGCAAGCAGATTTAAGTGGTGTGAGCAGGTATGAGTGGGGGTGAGAAGGTAATGAGACTGAGCAGGTATGAATGAGGGTGAGCAGGTGGCCCCGGGTTCCTCTAGGGTGCCCTGCACTAATCCCAGCATCCCAGAGTTGCCCCTCCCCATGGGGTGTTCAGTTCTCCCCCACTGACACGCCCCTTTCAAAGGACCCACACAATCGTCATGGTCGAGTCAACACAGTACGTAACACACACCAGGCTCCTAAAATAGCAAACGGTTTCTTAATCTTCACTTAGAGCAAGAGCATTTCCAAGAATATCTTGGGTAAGAGGTGACGAGGCCCTGCGCTTGTTCCTGTAATGGGCTTGTCTCCACCCCTCCAAGGGCCACATCAAAGCCACTTGCTGGCCTATGTGCCTCGCACCATAAACAGGACCGCCCTGCTGGGCCGCTGGCCATGCAGGCCATTCACAGGACCACAGGTGTGGGCAGGCTGCCCCCTTCCCCTGGCAGCTCTGATCTAGATGGCTCACACTGCCCAGGTTGGTCCAAGCAGAACAGCACTCGTGACCCCTCGTACACACAGCCCCCTCCCACCCCCTCTTCCCCAGAGCATGGAGCTGGCAGAGAAAGGCGCAAGGCAGGCGTCCGCCAGCCTCAGACCAGAGACAGGAGCTTCCTCCCACCTGCCGTTGTTCATTCCAACTTTTCTAATGACAAGATGAGCCTCTTAAAACACTGGGTCTGTTGAGTGTGACTTGTCCAGCTGGCTCTCCCGAGCCCACGGAGGGAACAGTGACGGTGATGAGTAGGAAGGCCACACGCCCACATGGGTGATGAGGGTTAGGCCGCTCTGTGTCACACCACCATGACTCGGCGTCCACCCCACAGCTCCTAGACCACAGAATCTGATGGAGAAGGTTGGAGGTGCATGGTTCTACACACACTTTTTATTTGCCAAATCCACCTAAGCACTGGCTCGGTTCTTTATGAGGCCACCTAGGGGCCGGCGCTCAGAGGCAGGCAGGCCACCTCCAGTGCGCAACTTCATCAACTGCTTCCCCATCTACTGCTCGTTCTTGACCCCAAGAGAGACTGTATATGTATTTGTAGACAGTCTCTATATCTATGTTTCCCATATAGAAAGAATAAGGGTTTTGGCCGGGCGCGGTGGCTCAAGCCTGTAATCCCAGCACTTTGGGAGGCCGAGACGGGCGGATCACGAGGTCAGGAGATCGAGACCATCCTGGCTAACACAGTGAAACCCCGTCTCTACTAAAAATACAAAAACTTAGCCGGGCGAGGTGGCGGGCGCCTGTAGTCCCAGCTACTCGGGAGGCTGAGGCAGGAGAATGGCGTGAACCCGGGAGGCGGAGCTTGCAGTGAGCTGAGATCCGGCCACTGCACTCCAGCCTGGCGACAGAGCAAGACTCCGTCTCAAAAAAAAAAAAAAAAAAAAAAAAGAAACAAGGGTTTTTCAGCAGGTGAGTGCCCAGGATTAGAGAGGTAGCTCACGCTTTTAACCTACCTGAGACTGCCCATCAGCTTCCCCGCCAGACTTATTTGCACTGCAATCTTTCTCCATCAGAAAGAAAATAACGACCACAGGCCAGCCTGATGCCCTCTGGGGAGCCCTAAGGAGACAGCATGAGTCAAGCACCTGCCAGGTCCGGAGATGCCACAGGATGCTGCTGCGAGATGCCCATACTCCAGCATGCTCCACAGGCCAGGGCAGCTGGGAACAAGGGTGTTTCAAGATTTCAGCTCACAAGTCAGGAGTTTTAGCCATTGGTCTGTGTCCTGAGGACAACTGGGAAGTTTCCAACTGGGGAAGGGGAATCTAAAAGCCCTTTTGGAGGTCAAGGCTGCAGTGAGCTAAGATTACCCCCACTGCACTCTAGCCTGGGCAAGAGAGAAACACTATCTCCAAAAAAAAAAAAAAAAAAAAAAAAAAACACAGGAGCCCTTTAGGTTCTGTTTCATCTCCCTCGCTCTAGGCCTGAGCAGTCTGGAGCTCCGGTCAGACCTGCACCACCAGTCAGGATGTCAGGCTGTGTATACACTGGGCTAAGACTATCAGGCCTGGGACTCACTGTCGGGAAATCTGTTTCCCAGTACAAGGCCATAAACTGGTTATCACGCCCGACTCTTCATCCCAGGGCCTGACCTCTGGGCCTGACATCTTTACAATTCCAGGAACCATCCGATTAGGGAGACCTGCAGCAGGAACGATAGCCTGAAGAGGGAAGAAGCAGCCCTCTGCAGACCAAGTGCTTTTGGGAGCGGACTGACTGCTGGCAGTTCATGGGGCAGAGAGAAATGCTGCCGCCCTGGGTGCCAGAGAGGGCAGGGTGCAGGGGAGGCAAAGGCGGCTGCTACTCCACAAACACTCGCTATAAAGCAAGTGTCACAGGGACACCAGAGGAGGACCTGGACTGGAGTTGCGACTTCCGCTGCCTCCCAGCTCTAGGCCCCCTCTTCAGAAAGGACGCCTGCCCCTGCTCTTCTGCAAAGTCACTCTGCCCTGTGGAAGGCTGATCCAGGCCTCAGCACTCCTGGCCTCCATGGCAGCGCTCCCTCAGCACTCGCACCGTGACTTCTGAGCCCTTTCCAACACGCCCTGCCCACCCTCCAATCTCAATGTCCACCACTCCCAGCGCCCCTGCTGTTCTGCAAGCCTCGTGTGGTCGAGGGGCTTCTCATTTCTGTCCCCTCTGCCAGGACACTCCAGCCCCAGATGGTGGCATGGACGCTCCCTCTTCATTCAGGCCAACTGCCCGAGTCCGAGTGTCTGCTCCTCAGAGAAGCCCTCCCTGAGCCCCCTTGTAACAGACCCTGCAGCAGCCTGGAGCCTTCTCTTGCTCTGCTCTTCGTAACTTGCTCCCTGATATTTGTAGAGATGCATCTGCTTCTTATCTGCTTTCCATCAAACTACAAGCCTTAGGAGGGCAGGGAGTTAGTCTGTCTGGTACCCAGTGATCCATTCCCAGTGTGCCGAATGATGCCTGGGACACAGTTGGTACTTGTTAAATATCTGTTTGAATAAAATAAACAAACTGACAGTAATAATGTCTCTCCCAAAAAAGGTCAAATTAAGTGTTAAAAAAGCTCTGAAGGCCAGGCACAGTGGCTCACCCCTGTAATCCCAGCACTTTGGGGAGCCAAGGCGGGCAGATCACAAGGTCAGGAGTTCAAAACCAGCCTGGCCAACATGGTGAAACCCCATCTCTTACTAAAAATACAAAACTTAGCTGGGCATTCTGGTGCGTGCCTGTGATTCTAGCTACTGGGGAGGCTAGGGCAGGAGAATGGCTTAAACCCAGGAGGCGGAGGTTGCAGTGAGCCGACTTTATGCCACTGCACTCCAGCCTGGGTGACAGAGCAAGACTCCCTCTCAAAAAAAAAAAAAAAAAAGCCGGCGGTGGCAGCTGTCAGACTGGGGGGGGGGGGGGGGGAGAGAGGGAAGAAAAAAAAAGGGGGGGGGGGGGGGGGGGGGGGGGGGGGGGGGGGGGGGGAGCC